GTGTCTCCCATCCATGGGAGGAATAGTGTCTCCCATCCATGGGAGGAATAGTGTCTCCCATCCATGGGAGGAATAGTGTCTCCCATCCATGGGAGGAATAGTGTCTCCCATCCATGGGAGGAATAGTGTCTCCTATCCATGGGAGGAATAGTGTCTCCCATCCATGGGAGGAATAGTGTCTCCCATCCATGGGAGGAATAGTGTCTCCCATCCATGGGAGGAATAGTGTCTCCCATCCATGGGAGGAATAGTGTCTCCCATCCTTGGGAGGAATAGTGTCTCCCATCCTTGGGAGGAATAGTGTCTCCCATCCATGGGAGGAATAGTGTCTCCCATCCATGGGAGGAATAGTGTCTCCCATCCATGGGAGGAATAGTGTCTCCCATCCATGGGAGGAATAGTGTCTCCCATCCATGGGAGGAATAGTGTCTCCCATCCATGGGAGGAATAGTGTCTCCCATCCATGGGAGGAATAGTGTCTCCCATCCATGGGAGGAATAGTGACTTAAGGGCCATATAAAGGCAAGCAGAGGGCCACATCCCGTCTGCAGGCCGCAGTTTGGAGACCACTGTACTAGAGGGTCCTGTACCTAGAATTAAACCTGTCCAGTTTGTTGTTGAGCCTGGAGGTCAGAAGGTTGAAATCCAGTGTCCCCCAACCTGTGACACAGTGCTTAGAAGACCTCTGGGACCACTGCCCCAGGATCCAGACCCTGTCTGGCAATTTTCTACTCCAGGAATGTACATGACTGAAAAAGAATCCTCTGTTAATTATGCACTTGTGACACCCCTGAGATCACAGTCTGCAAATAACTGGGTGATTTAATTTTAGGCCATAACGTATTGCATGACCATGGCAATGACCTCACTTGAAAAAGCAGAAGATGAAGCCACACTTGACAGAGCTACAGAGTACTCTAAAGACAGAACATATTCCAAACACAGGGCCACATGACTCCAGGCTGCAGACGTTGGCATCATCAGAAAGCTCGGTGCAAGCAGTCCCAGAGTTGTTAGTAGTAAGTGAGCTGGGATGCTCTATACACTGGGACTCTTGGAAAGTTTATTCAGTCTCTCAGGGACTCTCTTTATGAGATCTCTGGGCTGAATTATTGGGTATACACATTAAAGTCAGGAAAAGTCAAGCTTTTAGTAACAAAAATAAAACCAGGATCAGAGGAGTGCAGAGATATGTTTTCTAGCTAACAAAGGAAATAGATTTTACTTTGCAGCATCATTTTTTCTTGCAGGATTTTTATTTTTAAAAGGTGAAATGGAATAAAGATTTTTAAAGTCTCCAATTTTGGAGGTGGAATGGACTTTTAGAACATGATATTTCTACACATTTTGAAGGTTCTTATGTATTCATGTGCCACAACTGTCATTACAACCATAGCCCCACCAGTGAGACTCACTCGAAAACAACAGCAAGACTGTAAAAGGCTAACTCTAGAGACTGCGGGGAAACAATACCATCTCTTTAGTATTGATGGTGAATTAACATACAAGTTGAAAAAAGATAAATAAAGAAAACTTACAGGAATTCTTTCTTCAATGTTGAACTCCTCCTTCTGTGGTGTTGCCCTTTCTCCTGACCACTCATTCTCCGGATTTGCTCCTTCTCTTGTCCACTCTTGCAACGAAGGTTCCCCTTGGTGGTGGCTCAACTCTAGTACTGAGGATCCTACAGAATCCTGGAGGACATCTCCGACATGGTCACTTGTATGAGAGCTTCCGGAAAATTCCTGGTCAAGAGAGACGTCGCTGAAATGTTCCATCATAATCAGGCTCTTATTCAAAGGTCTGCTGGATTCATCAAGCTTTTCCTCTTGTTCATGGCTTGATTTTTCGATATGTTCAACAAAGCTAGAAGTCATGTGAGCTGTTTCATTCTTTCCCATACTTGGCCCCTTGTTGAGGTGCTTGGTCTCATTATCAGAAAAATCTTGCCTTAGAAATGAGTGTGTTTCTAGAGTTTCGAAAGGTTGTATGGTGCTCAACTTGGCTGCCTCTTCTTCAGCTACGGGATCTATGTTCTCCTCTGTTCTCTTCTCAGCCTGGTTTCCTTCAACTGCAGTTATCACAGAGTTGTATGACTGAGACCGGGTCAACTTAGAGGCACTGGAAGACTCTATATGCTCTACGTTCAAGTTTATCATGGAAGATGTGCCTTTGAATGAGGCATTCAGTCCTTTCTTTGATGAGCTGCTGTCAGTCTGTTTGGACAACATGCGGTTCAAAGAATCTGCCACAGCATCATAAGCAAGTTTTTTAGGAGACACACCTGTTAAGCCACGTAGGACCAATGTGTCGAATGACTGGTTTGTGTTCCAAGATCCAACCTTTTCAATGTAATTCAAGCTAGGCAAAGATTGGATTTTTCGTCCCTGAGGCGATGGTGACCTTTGAGAGTCGCTGCTCTCGGGATAACCATGGCTGCTCTGAACAGATTGGGGAACCCCGCTAGCTGCCTCATTAGGGTTTGAAGAACTGCTTTTTGGCTCTTCATTTAAAGACATATCAGATCCTGTGAGCTTGGCTTTTATTTGCTGGATCCTGCTGGAAAGTTGTTTTCGATTCATGAAAAAAGCTCCGGGAGTCGACTGCGAGATGGGATAAGCTAGACGCCCGATAAATGAAGCCTCATCTATGGGGGTGTTTACAGCTTGGGACATGTCTGTCTCTTTATAGCCACGTAATATACTACCACGTGAGGACACAGTCAACTCACCGCATGGCTGCTCTTCTATTGTATCTTCTGCCATGTAGGAAGGCTTTGTGATGTCCTCAGGGAGACCAGGTGCATTCTGTGAAGATGGGCTACTGTAATTTCTGCTCTTATCAATTTTTGACATCTCCCTTTTTTTCCCCTCTTGTTGGATCTCAGCACACAGCTGCTTCTGAAGTTCATCTCTGAGCCCCAGAGATGACTGCCGCTGCCGGACAGTAATACCAGACTGGTCTAAGTGACCAGGTAGACTGAGATTGGCTTTCTCTAACTCAGGGTCATTAAAATGTATTTCACTCGAATCTCTGAATGTTTCTTCTTTTAACTTTAGTGCGGTTGGAGTTTTCGTTCGGCCTTGGGGTTCAAGAATGTATACATTGTCCTCTCTAGGTTCTTGTGATGGAACATCAATATTGTCAGTCTCGCTGGCAGAAACGGTTTGTGAAGAACGTCTAGAAGATGAACCACTACCATCTGACATACCAACCTCTTTCTCCAGAAGTTGCAACAACACAGGGGCAGGGACGTTGCTACCCAGAAAAGCTCCATCTTCTGCCATGAGGTCCTCAAGAGAAGGCTGGTCCATCTTCTTCAATACTCCCAAATCAGAATGAATGTTCTCTGTGATAGCGTCATCTTCTTTGTCACCGTGACTAATATTCAGCGGATGCTCCGACAGGTACTGAACACTACTCAAGTCAATGCCGCCATCAGAACTCTTCTCTTCATAATGCTGTGACAAAGACGAGGTGTCTTCCTCGTGGACTGTCAACACTTCTTTACTGGTCAGTCTTAATGCATCAGTCATCTGCAAAGACATAGATCCAGGGCCTGGAAATTCAGACATATCAAGGGAGGGCCTGGTGGAAGAAACACAGTACGTTCATGGGCTGGAAAACACTTTCGAAAGAACATACTATGAATACATTTTCCCATCTCGATAGCATTTTATTTTGTAGAATGACTATAAGTATTGACTGGCCTTTGCTCTAAATTGCCATTGCTTTCAGTTCCTGAGGAGGAATCAATGCAATAAAATATTCTACAGTTATAATGCTGAGAGCTGTACCTGAGCGGAGCAAATTCAGTTTCTGTCTGCTGGAAAAAAGTATCTTCAAAAAACTTGTGTCCCGGGATGGATCCGGAGGTGAGAAGAGGGAGGCACGGGGACAAATGGCTGTCCTGGAAGTCTACATAAAAGGAAAATCAGAAAAGACAAACTTATATTCCTTTCATTGTCAGGCAAGTCTGAGGAAGTTTATGTTGTCTTAAAGGGTAAGTTCACCTTTGGGAACATGTTACATATTCCACCCGTGTTTAGGGTGGAACATGTAACATGTTCCCGCTGCCGCCCCCCCGTCTGACAGATAGTATGGGGTGAAATCTCCCCGAATTACTTGTCAAATTTGAAAACAGCATGGCCGTGCGGGGCTCAGCCCACACGGCCACATCAGTAATTCACGGATTTCTGTGAATGAATGAACTGCAAGTGGCTGTCGGCTTGTAGTTTTCAATGAACTACCACGGCGCTGTGGAGCACAGTGGTAGTTCATTGCAGCTTCCTGTCAGAATATCTGCATGGTCATACATCTCGTACAACAAGCAGATATTCTGACAGGTCTGCAGGAGACCTGCATGGCATCAGCAATCTACTGATCGCTGGTGCAATGCTTTCCAGGCACTTGTAGACAAAAATAATAAATGCACATTTTTTTACCTGCAAAAAAAATGTGAATTTATTATTTTTGTCTGAAAGGTGAATTTATCCTTTAAGAATATAATGTGGTGCTAAAGCCATAAAGAATCTGCATACAGACCTATATTTGTATTATGGATTAGGAATGGGACTCTCTGCTTTAGAGTGTCTCTTAAACTGGAACAGGATCAACATTTTTCTAACAGCACAAATATAAGCATAACAGAAGTACCGAAAGCTTGCTACACATTGCTCCCGTCTCTTTTCCTGATACTCCAATTCTAGACTTCACCTCCGCAACATCTCCAAGACACGCCTGTTCTTAACCTCTGAAACCTCTACGCAACTTATTCCTTCCATTGTTATCTCTCACCTTGACTATTGTAACTCCCTCCCAGGGGCGGACTGACAACTCATGGGGCCCCCGGGCAATAGGGGATCATGGGGCCCCTGTGTCCTTGCCCAAACTCAAAAAAGCCTATGAAAAAAGGTACCAAGGGCATCTCATGGGTCCCCTACTGACCCCGGGCCCTCGGGCGGTGCCCGAGTTTCCAAATGGTCAGTTCGCCCCTGCTCCCTCCTCATTGGCCAACCTCATCGCAGGCTATCCCCTCTTCAGTCTATCATAAATGCTGCTGCCAGACTCATCCACCTTACTAACTGTTCTGTATCTGCCACCCCTCTCTGCCAATCCCTCCACTGGCCTCCATTCAGTGTCCTCCATCCCTCTCTGCCAATCCCTCCACTGGCCTCCACTCAGTGTCCTCCATCCCTCTCTGCCAATCCCTCCACTGGCCTCCATTCAGTGTCCTCCACCCCTCTCTGCCAATCCCTCCACTGGCCTCCACCCCTCTCTGCCAATCCCTCCACTGGCCTCCATTCAGTGTCCTCCATCCCTCTCTGCCAATCCCTCCACTGGCCTCCATCCCTCTCTGCCAATCCCTCCACTGGCCTCCAACTCAGTGTCCTCCACCCCTCTCTGCCAATCCCTCCACTGCTCTCCACTCAGTGTCTTCCATCCCTCTCTGCCAATCCCTCCACTGGCCTCCACTCAGTGTCCTCCATCCCTCTCTGCCAATCCCTCCACTGGCTTCCCATTGCCTAATGAATAAAATTCTAAAAATTAACAATCACATATAAAACCATTTGGAAGTCTGCCCCAAATTACATCACCAATCTTGTCTCCAAATATCACCCAAACCATACTCTCCACTCCTCGCACGACCTCCTGCTCTCTAGCTCCCTTGTCTCCTCCTCCCATGCTCATCTCCAGGACTTCTCCAGAGCCTCCCCCATCCTTTGGAACTCTCTACCTCAATCTATCAGACTATCGCCTACTCTGCTCACTTTTAGGTGATCTCTGAAAACCTATCTCTTCAGGGAAGCCTATCCTGCCTTCAATAATGGAATCTTCTATTCCTCCTACGGGTCCATCCCCCACAGTTATTACCTTTTGTACCACCAGCCCCTTCTTCTTAGATTGTAAGCTCCCAGGATCAGGGCCCTCCTTACCCTCTTGTATTGAAATGTATTGTTGCTGTATTGTCTCCCTTTAACTTGTAAAGCGCTGAGCAAATTGTTGGCGCTATATAAATCCTGTATAATAATAATAACCTCGGGATCATCTTTAATCCAGCATCAACCTCTGCAGTCCTCTACTTCCTGGACCGAGCCCAGCCACCGATGGTGCTATGCATTCTCTGCCTTTTCATGTCGGCCATTTTTTTTTTGTTAGACACTCCATGGTAACTTAGAGAGGAGGAGTCCGGACTTGGAAAACATACTTCGACACCAAATCAATGCCAGGATCAAAGAGGCATATGCTGTAGCAAGGTGCCAGAGGTAACCATGTGAATAAATCAGAGTTGAAGGCTTTTTACTCCAGAAAAGAAGAAAAACCTTTTTATATCATCTGTTTCGGGTACATTATGGGGAAAATAGTGGTTTAAAAAAAAAATCTAAGTTCTGCTTCAAAGCTGAAGCTTACAGTGGTTCTGAAGCCTTGGCAAAAGGTGAAAAACCTTCTGTGCTGCAGGATCCCCAGCTCCTCCTCATACAGTACTTACCCGAGCCTGATCCAGCGGTGTGCATGAGAGCAGGAGCTCTCGCCATTGTCTCATTCCTCCCTGAACAGATTGAAAGCATCAGGAGCCATTGGCTTCCACTGCTGTCAATCAAATGCTGTGCTGAGCAAGCAGGGGGCAGAGCCAAGCCGCCAGCTCTTTTGTCAAAGGATGCACACAGGGTGGCTCCTCCTTTTCGGCGGGTGCCCCCATGGAAAGCTGCTTTCCATGGAGGACTCTAGAGCGCTGACGGGGGACCCCAGAAAGAAGGATCTGGGGTGCTCTGTTCAATACCGTACAAGTATACCATGTTTAATATTTTAGTAAAAAAAAAACAAAAAAACAAAAAAAAAACGAAGGTTTAATGTTTCTTTATCTGCTTATATTTTGCTTTCCCTGGTTCTTCCTTCAACGTCATCAATGTGCGAATGACGCTTTTAAAGGATATGTTTAAAGCGGAGCTCCACCGAAAAGGGGAAGTTCCGCTTTAAGCCCTAGTCCCCCCCCGCTCCCCATTAAGGATTGGCACCTTTGGGAAGAGGGAACGTGTACCCGAATTTGAGAGGTACGCACTCCCACTTCCGCTGCGATGGCCTAGGTGATCGGAAGCGGAAGTTGCCCCCCTCCCTGTAGTCTTCTGGGACACGTGACAGGTTCCAGAAGACTACGGAGCCATTCACAAAGCGCAGCGCAGCTCGCACATGCTCAGTGAGCACCCGGCTGTGAAGCTGCAAGCTGTGCCCACACTAAAGATGCCGGCGCCAGGGAGAGAAGACAGCTGGTGAAACCAGCCGTGGTGAGGACACCGCTGGAGTCAGGGACAGGTAAGTGGCTGTATTTTAAAGTCAGCAGACACAGTTTTTGTAGCTGCTGACTTTTATTTTTTTTTTTTGGCAGGTACATTTATTATTTTTTTGCACTGCAGTCTGAAAGGCATTGCACCCATGATTAGCAGCTGGCGGGTTCAATGCCTGGATCCTTCCTACAGTAAGTAAGCGGTCTGCCTATACTTCGTAAGGGAAGGCACTTACTGAATGGCGGGAGGAATCAATGAACTTCTAGATTGTAAGCTCCAAGGAGCAGGGCCCTCGAACCCCTCGTGTATTGTATTGTTACTGTACCGTCTCATGTACTGTCCCCCCCCTTGCTACTGTACAGCGCTGAGCATACCCTTTGGCGCTATACAAATACTATATAATAATAATAATGAATAATGAGAATGTTCATTAGCGCCCTCGCAGTTCATTGAGAACTACAAGCCATCAGCTGACGGGGGCCAACGGTAGATGTAGTTCATTCATTCACACGTGTTTGCAAATGGCAGTATATATACACTGGAATTTTTTATTAGTAATGGCGGCGATCAGCGACTTATAGCGGGACTGCGACGGGCATTCTGAAATTAGGGGAAATGACTTGATGTCACTGACATCCCCAGTGACACCAACACAGTGATCAGTACTAATAAAAAGCACTGATGCTGTACTAATGGCACTGGGCAGGAAGGGGTTAACATCTGGGGCGATCAAAGGGTTAACTGTGTGCGCTTTACACTGTAAGCACACTGCTATGCAGAGCCATACAAAGCAGTGTGCAGGAGCTGACAGGGGAGAGATCTGTGTTGTTTATACACAGCTCTCTCCCCTGCCGGTAATACTCGGGAGCAGGGGCGGACTGACCATTCAAGCACTTGGGCACTGCCCGAGGGCCCAGGGTCAGTAGGGGGCCCTATGAAATTCCCCTGGTACCTTTTTATAGGCTTTTTTGGGTGTTTTTTTGAGTGTGGGCAAGGACACAGGGGCCCCATGAGTTGTCAGTCCACCCCTGCTCGGGAGATCGCCGTGTGCCGGTGGGGAATCACAGGCAGGGACCCGGTGATTGACAGCCGAGGCTGTGAATGGTGGCGCAGGTAGGGTACACGCGTGCCCCCTACCCGTAACTGCAAAATCACGTATATTTTGATATATTTTAACGTGATTTTACGCACCCGTGCCGCCCTGGAAGCGGTTAAATAAGACCTTTGCATTTATATTACATAACTTATTTTAGGCCCAGTGATGTCATCCCTGGTTTACTGTATTTCTCTATGCAATGCATGCAGTTCATGGCTGGTGGGAGGGGCCATCAGAGTGCTGTACATAGCTTCCCGAAAACAACACAGCACCCTGCCTCAGTACTCCTTTCAAGAGCCCTCAGTCCTGATGCAAGCAGTGGCCTGACTCTTGAGAGGGGTTATGCAAATATCAAATTATTATACAGGATTTATATATTATTATTATTATACAGGATTTATTATTATTATTATACAGGATTTATATATTATTATACAGGATTTATATATTATTATACAGGATTTATTATTATTATTATTATTATTATAATACAGGATTTATATTATTATTATTATAATACAGGATTTATATATTATTATTATTATACAGGATTTATATATTATTATTATACAGGATTTATTATTATTATTATTATTATAATACAGGATTTATATTATTATTATTATTATTATTATAATACAGGATTTATATATTATTATTATTATACAGGATTTATATTATTATTATTATTATTATACAGGATTTATATTATTATTATACAGGATTTATATTATTATTATAATACAGGATTTATATTATTATTATTATAATACAGGATTTATATATTATTATTATTATACAGGATTTATATATTATTATTATTATACAGGATTTATATATTATTATTATACAGGATTTATATATTATTATACAGGATTTATTATTATTATTATTATTATAATACAGGATTTATATTATTATTATTATTATTATAATACAGGATTTATATATTATTATTATTATACAGGATTTATATTATTATTATTATACAGGATTTATATTATTATTATACAGGATTTATATTATTATTATAATACAGGATTTATATTATTATTATTATAATACAGGATTTATATATTATTATTATACAGGATTTATATATTATTATTATACAGGATTTATATATTATTATTATTATACAGGATTTATATATTATTATTATTATTATACAGGATTTATATATTATTATACAGGATTTATATATTATTATTATTATACAGGATTTATATATTATTATTATACAGGATTTATTATTATTATACAGGATTTATATATATTATTATACAGGATTTATATATTATTATTATTATTATACAGGATTTATATATTATTATTATACAGGATTTATATATTATTATTATACAGGATTTATATATTATTATTATTATTATACAGGATTTATATATTATTGTTATTATACAGGATTTATATATTATTATTATTATACAGGATTTATATATTATTATTATTATACAGGATTTATATATTATTATACAGGATTTATATTATTATTATTATTATACAGGATTTATATATTATTGTTATTATACAGGATTTATATATTATTATTATTATACAGGATTTATATATTATTATACAGGATTTATATTATTATTATTATTATACAGGATTTATATATTATTATTATTATACAGGATTTATTATTATTATTATTATTATACAGGATTTATATTATTTATTATTATTATTATACAGGATTTATATAGCGCCAACAGTTTGCTCAGCACTTTACAAAATAAGCGCTGTAGGAGTGGGCGTTCCTAGGCAGACCCCCCTAAATCACACCCACGTGTGCTGAGCCTTCATGATTGGCAGAGCTGAAATCTGACACATAAAAGTGAAACAAAAAGAAAGCGCACCAACCTTGCGCATTACCATAATTTTATTAAATTGAGAATAATACTCACAAACAATGAAGTAAATCAGCATACAAGTCCTCAAAGGAGGTTTAGGAGTGCAGAG